GTTCCTTTGGCCGATGAGTTTAAAAATAACCGTGGCTAGAACAGGTTTGAAGTTAGTATAACGACACGTAACTACAACTAGATATTATAATATTACATAAATTTGAATTAAATTACAACTTCACGCAGTAAAAAAATTGATGCAAACACATTTTCTGTTACTCGTCAAGTACCTATTTCATTCTCGGTTACTTACAGTATCACATACTTTAGTCATTACATTATGAGATTTATATTGTGATACCAGAAAAACATACCCACAATAGTCGTGTACCCAGAAAGCCTATACAGGACGCCGTGATTATTATTTTATTATTAAATAATAAATATTATATGGTTCGTCTGCTCGTTAATCGAAAACAGCTGTTCCCAAATAAAATTTTGGTTCCAATATAAAACAGTAAAATATTATATGTTTTGTATTTTTGCCGTGTACATTCTCGAAGGTCTTCGGGTTCTTGTTTTCTTTAACGCACATAATATAATAGTATTTTTTTATTTATTTTTTTTATTGTAGTTTTAAAACCCCCAAAAAGTAAATACTAAATATCGCAGTACAAAGACAAGAAGAAATGTATACAGAATAAAATAGTTTGAAGCTCTCCACAACAAACTTATACATACCTACAATAATGGTTCGTCAATACAATTGTTTTAAATTTAATTAATGAATCAAAGAAAAAAACCAAAACTTGGTACAGTCTTACATTGGTCTAAAAGGCGGTGCCTACTCCGGGCTGAACTTGACAATATTAGTAGAGCGATTGGAAACCAAAAATGGACAAAGATTTCTTGGATTAGAGGTATTGGTACCTTAAAGTTTATTCTTTTTAAAAACTCGGGACACGATATTTCGTTATTAATATTATTGTATATGTATACGAGAGCCGACGTGGCTGGAATCGAGCCAATGGTTCAAGACCTAAATCCAATACGACGGATAATATTATAGGTATAGAAAGGGGGATTGAAACTGGACGAAAATCGGGGACCTAGTCTGTCCGGACAAGGGGCCACGTTACAATATCATCGCGTTCGGAAAACGAACCATCCCGCCTTAAACTCTGGCACCACTCACCATCACGTCATCGGATAAACGAATTCGCGAAAACAAACCACCACCCGGACCTGGGCACTGTAGCAATAATATGATTATAAATATATTATAAAGTCGCGAGTCGCGGGCCGAGTGAAACACGCTCGAGGTTTCGATCTCCTGCAGCTCGTGCGTAAACGCAAGTTCGTGTGCGTCTCCATCGAACGCTAAAGCCGCTATACATCTCTACGTTATACCTCGTCGTGTACACATATATGATTATTAATACCGCCTTAATATTCAGCGCAGATATGCGTATAATACTATACGAGCTATAATAAATGCCGCGTGCGCCTATACCTATATACAGGGCAGGTATCTACCGCTCTTTTGATCTCAAAAATCGACCCCTGGTCACGAACCACACACTGAGTATTTGCTGCGGCTGGTATATACGAAATAATATAGGTATATATTATACCTCTGTACATCACTGGTACCGCGCGCGCCACTCGTATATGGCACAATATTATAAAGTAAAATACCTATGCGATATTATGTTGAAACTGCAACCACACACACAAAAAAAAAAAAATTAAACCAAACAAATATATAGGTAATATATAAACAATGTGACCACGATGTTCATTCTTAAATCGTATTTTAAATACATATATTATGCCTGAGCTAACGTATGCTATATAGCATATATTATTATGCGGTAAACCTATACCTTTATACATATTATATACTGTGTATATATATATGTATATATATTATATATTGTGGTATTAATATATGGAAAAGTCATTATTTTCTTTTTGTATATAGCCATAATGCAGTCGAGCATCGCACCGATACGTACTGTTAATTTATGCCGCTGTTTGGAAATGTATATTATATAATAATAATAGGTGGGTATACTAGATACATCATAATGACAATATAATATGACACAAAAATGGTTGTTTCTTGGTTTGAACGAATCACTCTGTAATCTGTATACCTATAGGGAAAGTGTACGTAACGAACCTTAGGAAAAAAAAGTCAAAATATACGTTTGAAAAATGATAATTATTTTGTAAGTATCAAAGCATAAATATATTGAGAAGAACATTGCATAATATTACCCCCTCGGTAATCAATTTCGATTAACAATTTTCCTGACGCAACGTAGTCCAATAATGATTAAAAAATCGTTTATTGACTTAGAATGAGGTATATATATATAGGTATAAAACTATTTATTAAACATAAAACATTTAACAAAGGTCGCGTGACATTCCGAAGGATAAGTAGGTACGAAATAATGCGTTATAAAATGACAGTTTTATAACATTATTAGATATTGTACCTTATAATTAGGAAAACAAATCTGAAGTTATTAGTAATGAATATTGATCATAAATAGTAATGTAATAACTAATAACTAATAAGTAGGTACATAGTTTTAATCTATTTTATTTTATTTTTAGTACCTAGGTACTTAATAAATATTTAACTTATTTTGAATATTATATTTGTTTACGAAATTTGAAGTACCCAATAATATGGTAATATACAGTGTTGTAAAAATACTTTTTAAAAGTATTTAAGTATTTACTCAAATAATCTTAAAATACCACCCAAATACTATAAATAGTAAAGTATTTGAGTAATACTCAAATACTTTTCAGAATTATTTGAAATAATCTTCAAATACAAAAAAAAATTCTTTTTACTTTTTAGTTCTGAAATAATTTTTTTAAATCAAAATTTGTTTATTGCATTTTAAAAACATGATTCGTTCAATAATCAAAATTCTGATTAGTCGTGTTAGTTGCACCACAACAGTGAACTTTTCTCTACAGAGTTATTATATATTAATTTAAATATATTATGTATTTGGATATCTCATATCGTCATCGATCGTCGTCTACGATACACGATAATGATAATTATTGATAACAATATTCTTGGTAAATAGGTAGTAGCCACTTGCCAGTAGGTACTAATAATTATTAACAATATTTTCGTATAGTTAAATAATTATAAACTATAAAGTATAATAGCCGTTAAGTAGAAGCTTTTTGCATATATATTTTGTTATTCACTTAAGCTAATAGTGATACCGACTACAGATGTATCTTTTCGATCATCGTTGACAATAAACTGTCTCCTAGAGAAAAAGAAACATTGAATCGACGAAAACTGATACCAATTTGTCTGTAAGGCATAAATGGTAAATATATAATACTGTATTGTTATATGTTAAGCAAAAACACGACGGCATGGTTATTTTATTTAACAAAAATAATTATTAGTAGAAATAAATTAAGAATAAAAAAAATTAAATAAAAGTCATCAATAGTAAAAAAAGTATTTAAAATGCCTTTCAAATACTTCAAAATAAAAAGTATTCAAAAAAGTATTCAATACCGAAAAAAGTATTTAAATACTTTTGCTCAAATACTTTTTCTTAAATACTTTACAACACTGGTAACATAATATAATATTATATTATATTACAAGTACATATTGTGTGTTATATTTTTTTTTAGTAATGACTTCAAATTGTGTGAAAAAAAATAAGCACAAATGTTGATATACTTTCGAGATTATGAATTGTTTACTGTTCAAAGAACCATTGCGTATATAAAAGGTTTAAGTGTATGATACCTAATATTATATTGTAATACTCTTAGTATTATTATTTATTAGGGAGCCGTAAGCTATCGGTTATGGTTAGGTTATTGTTAGGTATACACGTCGTGTTATGTGGAATGAACTTGATTGTAATTTTGCACGATTCAACGCTATAACGCAATAATATATAGGGGAGAATCCTATATACATATATATTACTATATAACACTATTATTATACGTACAGATATAATATAAGATGGACATGTTAAAGTGCTCGGCAAGAGAAGAATTACATTAAAAATTTACATATTTTCAATCAAACAGTCGTATTATATACATTAATTATTGTAAAACACAACTAACTATTTAACCTAACGCCGTCACCTCTGCGCGCGTTTCAGCCGAGCCGAAATAGCGACTCGTCCTACACTCGTCATATATAATTACAAAAATATCCCACAATAAAAGCTATAGGTACTATTGCAATATATGTACATTGCGTTTTACCGTCTATATACCATTGTATATACCCAGGTGGGTATATTTTCGTCGGTCGAAGGCTAATATATTATTTCGACGGTTATGCAGGAAATGATGTTTACAATATCAGTCGGGGAGTCATAAATTACAAATCTTGAATTGTCGAAGGAGGAAATAAACTGAGTTCGGTAGGTTAATGATGTTTACTATTCAGTCACGTATATTTGAGGAGGGTTTACGGCTCTTGTACTATATTCGGTTTTTTGTCATCCATATACCTGCAGCGTTGATTATTGCTGTTTATAGGTATAACTTTGTTAGGTATATTATATCTTATAATAAGTACCACCAACGTGCACAATAGATTAAACATTTTTTTTAATGATATTTTTTATTTCGTAGGTAGCATTTTCGTAGTAGGTAGATGGGTAAGTTATACAAAGGCCAATTCTATATTAGTAATTTATTATGGTTTAAAAAAATTAATTAGAATTAGAGTTAGAACAATTAACAAAATACACTTTATATGAGTACAATCAATAGAGAAAAATATTTGTTTGCAATAAATAATTTATTTACATAACAATATAATTATTAACAATATTATGGACATTTCTTAAATTTGAACTCAATAACAACTATTTTCAATTTAATTCTCTTCTTTTTTAACTGCGGATGCACAAAAATAAGGTATAACCATTTTATCGTAATCGTTAGTTAATCGACTTAATTACATATCTACCAAATATATTATCGGGTTTTAAATAATATATTTTAGATTTTTAAATCAATCATTTTTGTTTTCGTTATTTTTGTAAATCTGTGTAATACATTTTCACATTTTCCGATTCGGGTTAATTATTCGTAATCATTTACTTCGGTTGTACCAATAAAAAACCTTATGATGAAAAATGTTGATACAAAAATACATGTTAACTTGATTATGCTCAATATGGAAATAGAATCTGAAGTACATATTTGAGGCATAATAGCTCCTCGAAAGCCAGCACCATTAAAAGCTTCATGTGACATCGTTTTACAATTAGATGCAAATAATTGATCTTCAATGGTCGTACAAGCGCATTCACAAATCCACACACAAAAACAGCGGTTGGCTTCGCTAATGGGAACATGTCTCCAAGCCATTACATTGTCCAATTTGTCCAATACTCGCACTGTTCGAAATATGATTTGATTGTTTACATTAATTAGTATTTTATCACTAGATACGTCCTAAAAAACATTTTACATGTGCAATTGGCGTTGGACTTGATAAGTGGTCCATATAAATTTAAAACGTGATTGTGTCGGCGAAAGGGGAAAATGTATACATCGCGACTTTGAATTTCAGTACCGTTTTTGTTCGTGCTTAATGGAAAATCTAATAACTGCACTGTGAATAATTCGGCCTTCATTCCAATATTATAAATTGATGCAACTATCTTAGTTTGATCATTTTTAGTCGCATCTGAATATATTTCTACAATTTCAATAAGGGACCTATAATAGTAATTAAATTATGCTATTGTAGTAGTATTAGGGCAATAATTGTGTCAAATAGTCTAGGAAAATGTGATAATCTTATATAATATTATATTTTGGTCAATAATTATTAATATGATAATAGAACAAAAACCTTAATTTAATTTAGATATGGGTTATTAATTAATGTACGGTTAGAAACGAAGGATAATCGTAATTTGTGGATACATTGTTGCCAAAAAAATAAAGATATTGTTTATATTTTAATAACTTATTATACAACTATATACCTACGGCTAATTAAAAATATATTTATGATTCAAAAAACTCCGAAATACCTCATTTTTTTTATGTAAAAGGTCTGGATATACGAGGAAATCGAATTTTTATGAAAACTCAATGAAAACAATAGTCCGACATAACTACTATAATACTATACTATCTCTATTATAGTGTTTGGGTTTTCTTAGCGTTTTTGTTGTTCTTGTAAGATAGCGCTCAATATCGAGGGGCAGATGAACGACTGACAAGGATGAAGCCGGTTTAAGCACGTTGTCCACGGGACGAGCGCATTAAATGAAGACATCGAAATGCTGATCAGTCGAATGGTAGACAATCTTGACTCGGACAACGAGATGATTGCAAACGATACTGCAGGATCATCGAGTATTTATAAGAAACAAATACGTGGGGGTCAAAAGTGTCGAAGGATTGTCTGTTAAACATAAATTAAAATTTTAATGCAATACAATTTTATATCATATATTATATCAGCTACTACCTACCTAAAAGTATACAACATTGGCTATCAAAAAGACAATATACTATTAATATAATATTTGTGTCAATGAATTGTATTGTACGATTTTATAGACCTCATTAGAACAGATGGAAAATAAATTGTTGTTACTATGTATAGGTACCTACCTAATATAATATTATGAAAAAAAATCTATTAAATAAGTTGATTATTAAACTGTTAAAATATTTTCTAAATTATTACCTTGTTGTAAGTACACTGTTATAATTTATTTCCTTATGAATCAATAATTCACTAGTATAATCCATTTCATAATGTAAATTTAACGTTTCAGTCCCGTTAATTTTTTGCATTACTTTTGAATTTTGTGGAAATGTAACGAAATTTTCTAAAAAATAATTCCCTGGGATTCCTGACTCGATTGCATCCTAGTATAGTAATAAAAAATAATAAAGTATTTACACATTTTTAATTAAAAATAAGCATTTAAACTGGTGGATATTGAAATAAAATAATTGCAGTAATTTTCTTAAATATTTAACCAATACATTTACTTAGTAAATTCAAAAGAGACATATCGGTGTGATAATTAGTTATTTGTTAGCCACAGTCGCCTGTGAAATAATTTGTAAAAAATTAGTTTATTTCTAAGTGTTCCGACCTATTACAGGGGATATTTTTTAAATCCAAATGTTCTATTATACCTAATACTAATTTCTATAAATAATTTCTTATAATATACCATATCATGTTTCCACAAATGTGATGGTTGGTTGTTCAAGCAGCTAGATCTTTTCACTCCACATCTATTGGATTGTTTGAAGAACGCTTCATATGATACTCCAGCCTTATTACATTCGTCACCTTTGGTACTTATGTTGTTTGCGTTTAAAATTAAATATTTTTTCGGATCGTCTAGAATATATTATTTTGTTAATAACAATAATAATTATTATTTTCCGTTTTCTGATCCATATAGGTGAATACTAAAAATTAAAATACATAAATATTATTTTTTAAATCACCTGTTGATTGTGGATAAAGATGTTTGACTATTAATGGTACTTCTTCTGGTATCAAAAGTCTATCGTTGTTTATGTCTAAACTATAGTATTGATCATCACCAAATGTTAAAGCTACATAATTTGCTTGCACAGTTGACTCGTCGTTTTCATAATTCTTGTTATTGTTGCTTAACCTATATAATTAAAATTTTTTAATTACATCAAATACTCAAATGCATTAATACTTTAATAGTGTTTCCAGTATTCAATACTATATCCCAAGTAATCTTAATTCTAAATAAAATATTTTCAATTTTGTTCATATTAATTATATTAAACAAGTAAAAATGTATTGAATATATTATGAAAATGTAACGACTTGTTATGATTTAAATTACATTTTAATACACTTTTTATATCAAATAAAAGCGTTAATAAATTACTTACTTAACCAACACATTTTATATTCCTTAATGTCATATTATGCTTTTTAGTAATATTATTAGTAATTACTAATGACATAAATACATAATAAGATAATATTACAATAATATGCAGACATCATCATTTTTTTTTTTGTAAATGAAATACAACTTAATGAATTACTAATATTATAAGCAGTAGGTGATTACTTAATTGTTTAACAAATTATAGCTTATACATTTTTATTTCAATAATAGGTGTTTAGTTTTAAAAATGCACAACGTCAACTTAGTTCTAGGTAGTATAATTATTTACGTCCTCCAAAAAGTGCATTATTTTATAAATCGTTATAGGTAATCTTTTGAGGTAATAGTAGAAAATAATTTTTGTTTTAATTTTAAGCAAATTGTATGTAGCCTGTTCTGCCAACTAAAGAACGTAATGGGGTGTTAACTCTAAACACTGCGTAGCTGCAGTTAAACCAGGTGGCAGATATATAAAATATACTTAAACCAATATGCAATACTGTAATTAATGAAATATATGATTATATTGATCATCCATGTACAATAATTACACACACACACACACACACACACACACACATATATATAATATATATATATATATATATAAATATACAGGGTGTTCCGCGAGGATTTACCATTGCGGTATCTCCTGAGATAATGAAATATATCATAAATCTGTTTTGTTTTTTATTAGACTCACAGAGACAAGGACTACATATATTTTATTTTTAATTTAGTAAATTTTAGTATATTTTTTGGTAAAAACGTTAAAAAAGTTATTTTTTATATTTTTATTTTTGAAACAATTGAAGATACTATTTTATATAGTTTATCTTTTTGGAAATTTTGACTTTTCAACATTTTATTTTCATTAATCTCATGATTTTTAATAATTTATTAGTTTATAAATAAAATGGTAAAAAACCGGTTTAGGCCGGGCGGCGAGTCCCCCCTCTACGGCTCACGGGACACTGTATAGATAATGTTCTGTAAGGTTTTTGGAAACGACAACTCACTTGACATTGGAAATGATTTTCCTGTACAACGGTATAATATTATCCATTGTATATTTTTCATAAATACTTATTGTAAGCGAATGATGGTATGCCGTAGATTCCAACTTGTTCACGTTGTACCTGCAGGACACAGCAGACGACACATCGTAAGACACATTGACATAATAATATATTATACTGGTCCAACCATAAGTCACTGAACTGCAAACAGTGACTGCTCTCGTGGAACCTATACTCTTCGTCGACATTTCCTGCTGGCGTATTTGTGGATTCACAGCTTTGACCCCCACGTATTTGTTTCTTATAAGTACCCAATGATGATCTTCCGGTATCGTTGTTTGCAGTCATCTCGTCATCCGAGTCAATGTTGTCCACCAATCGACTGATCAGCGTTTCGATGTCTTCGTTCAACAACGCGTTCCTCCCGTGGACAACGTGCCTAAACCGGGTTTGTCCATGACAGTCGTTCATCTGCCTCTGGATATTGACCGCCATCTTACAAGAACAACAAAAACCCTAAGAAAACCCAAACGTTGTAATATTACAGCTGCGTCTGACTATTGACTATATTGTTTTCATTGAGTTTTCATGAAAAGTCAATTTTCTCCTTTATACTTCACTGAATTGTTTTGGGATGACTTCGGCCATTGCATTACAAGCGGATCGTTTTACATCTGCGTAGCAGCCGGGATAATGACTGTTGGACTCCTTGTTGAACACAATTTCCTTCGCTTCAGAGTTGACCGCCTGGGTATACACAAAAATAACATTACAAATACATACACACGAGTATAATATATGTGAACATTAATTAAACTCCATAAACTAACCTTTATGTGCTTAAGTTTGTACGATTCCAGTACTTCGTCTTGTTGAATCACTACTATGTAAGGATTTATTAGCATTCTCGCTTTGTTTGTTTCAGCCTCGTAAACCTTATCAACAATTATCACTTGGTGTTTCGAAATATTTTCCTGTATACGTATATTACATAACATTATACATATACACTATACAGATATTGTAACTTAAGTGCTGTAGTGATATTTATTGGTTTCCTATTAAAAGGACAATCGGATACGAATCTTTCCGCGGATGGAATAATAGCAATTTATTATTATACGTAATTATAAAATAATAAAAGACGCTGGTTCGATACCTCAGCCGCGGGTGGCATTTTTCTTCGGGCAAGTCACGGTGTCCGGAAAACAAGGGCCGCCATCCCCCACACGGGGTATGCAAAAACCTACGGGTGCCACCATTAAAAATTCTGCCAAAACACAACACACACGTGTACCAACCTACCCAACCTAAAACCCCATAGTTCCTTCCCCACACCCAATGGTCTATGTTGCCGCGGGTTATCCAAAAAAAAAAAAAAATTATTATAATATTATTATAAAATACAAAATTGGACACTTTTACACAGTTTCTGACGTTTCCGTTTATTTTTCGTTGTAAGTGGATAAGTGTGATGGGCACTTTTGTCGAAATCGAAGACTTACATAACGTGTGTTTTTTAAATAAGCAAATAATTAGATTGGTCACAAATATGACAATATTCAACAGTGGCGTGTATCATAAAAAAAATTGGTGTTGCTCAAATAATTTTAGGTGACCTACCCCTCATAATACTGTTATACCGACCTATAAAATTTCCCATTTTTTTTCTATCAATACCCACCCACCCATATTTAAGGTGTTTCCTGAGCAACACTTGGACCCCATGTTACACGCCACTGATATTCAATACTAGATACTTTGGTTTTTATCAAATTGTATATTAGTTATGGTTTAGAAACATTGATTATAATAAATTTATAACAGTTAATATTGCCCGTTTAGAATATATTATTATTAATAATTATATGTTATAAATATTGGTAGGTTCAATGTTATAATTTATTTATATGTATTAATAATTTATACATTCGTATAATCATTTAAATACATTTATATACAAGATCATTATTTAAAGGTTAACAACTCATTTGCTTAATTAGTATTAACGTTTATTAAAAATCATATTTTTACTTTTTTCAATTTTGTAATGCTATTATTTTTTAAGTTATTACTTTTTTGAACTGGAGTTTACATTTTTAATTAAACTTAAATGAACCAACAGAGAAAAATCTCTTAATTTCAATAAAAAAATATACATTTTGGACGAGTAGTTAACTAAATTAAGGTTAAAATGTAAACTTAACCTTGATAACATGTGGCATAGATACAGTACTTATTTAATAATTTAAAAATTTGTGAAACGATTTTATTTTACCTCAGTGTTTTTTTTTAACCATATGGTTATGTAGATTCCTTTGGTTTTAATGTTACTCCGTTTTTTAATACGATTGGTACAAATCGGCATTTGGTTTAAAGAATTTAGTTCATCGCGATATAACATGTCAATAGGTGTTATAATTGCTTGAAGTTTAGTTCCCGTATCTTTAAGCTGACATAATATGCTTTGAAATGGTATGCTTACGATTAACGTAGCAAATAAAATGTACTTGTACATTTTAAAAGCTTAAGTTTAGATTTTTTAATTCATACAAAATTATGGATTCAGTGATATCATATCTATACACTTCTGCAACGAAGACATATAAATCGAAATGGTAGAGAATTCTCATCAGATCATCTTATTGCTCGGTCGATGAAATAAGTAATTGAAATTTATGATAATTAAATAACGTACTGTAAAACATAATGTATAATGATGGATGCTGGTGGAGAGGTGAAGGGTCAAAACTGCAACGCCACCAGTATGCCACAGTGAAATCGTTTTATATTGTTACCTGAAAAATTAGCATATTTTTATTCATCACTTATACGTATATTTTACATAAAATCTTCTAATAATATTATATTTAGTAACAAGTCGATTCACTCTGTTAAAAACACAAAGTCGGCTCTAGCAGAATGTACGCGTTTTTGAGAAGGAGACAACTCGCTCGTGTATAGTCGTGCAAGCAACTCAACGTACCTACCGGATTCGTATACTATATCTTAGGTATATAGTTTATGTTAGATAAAATTAACTTATTATCGAATTCGTAGAGGATAATAAACATTATGCTCTAGCGGAGAATTTTTCTTTCATGTCTTTATTTTAAAAAGAGTTATATATATGCATATAACATAATATATCATGATATGAATTCGAAAAAAAATTAACTGGGTATTATAATAAAGAAAAAAAAATCTTTGCCGATCAAAGTTTATAATATTATTATTCTGGTCTAACGTTATCGATAGTCGGTACCTAAATTTGCTATGGCATTCAAGAATCCAAGGCACGTAGATGAGATATTACAATATGCGAGTCGGAGACTACACATGCGGGTACGACGACGTCTTCTTATATAATATAATATTATCAAGTATAGGTAGGTAGGTAGGTCCGTTTCAAACGGATCAAAAACGTTTTTTTTATTCACAACGACTACTGTGCAGAAGTCGACTTACAAACGATAATGTCTGACGTCGGAAAAAAAAAAGTCGTATTACATATTATTATTATACATTATAGAGGAGGAAGTCGTGCGCGTTTAGGCGCTGAGACGGCGGCGGCGGCGGGCTAACCCACGCGCGGTCGTCGAGATCGTCGCCACTACCGCCACTGCCGCCGCGTGAGCTGGGAATCCGGTAGCCGGTTCGTGTCATTGTTTATGCAAATGCGCGAGACCGCAAGTGGACGACGACGACGACGACACCTCCACCCGCCCAGCACCGAGGTCGAGTGCCACCGAGTCGCCGCCGCCGCCACAGTAGTTTTCTTTGAATCGTATATTATTTGTATATATATATACATATATATGTACGCGGACCGTATAATAATTCACTCGGCCGTTTTATAATATATATTATTATTTTGTGCGACTTCTATGCAGCGCGCGTGTTTGTATTCCTTTTTTTCCCTTCTTTTTCACTCTTTCCACCGTATTATTACTATTATTTGTATACCTTCGCGACCATTGTTCGCGCGCGCGCCCGAGTCTCCTCTTCGTTTTTTTTTTCCATATAATATAATATTATTATAATATACACGCGCTCGTTTTTATTATTATTATTATATTTTTTTTCTCTTCGCTTTACTTTCCGCGTATCCTCCTCGACATCGTCCCCCTCCCCCTCGAGTTCTGTATATAATATACCGTCTTTACACGCCATAACATTATCAGCTATTCTCTAGTCCTTCCTTCCGAGCGCCCACGAGGAATTCCCATACATTATTATATGTGCTGCAGCGATACTCATATATATATATATATATATATATATATATAATATTATATGTACAATGTATGCCTCTGCTGCATACGACACGAAGTGTGCGCACAAACGAATTCGCACGCACGCTGTTCTTATATACCTAGGTATATGATGATATTTTATTATTGCGTGTCGTCCCCCTGCCTAGAACGGTCCTGCTGACGATTGCGGGGTCCCGGATTGCCACTGCCGAGTAGTGGCGGCGTGCACATATAATAATAATATACATATTTATATGTTGTACAGATGATATGCTGCTGCTGCTATATTGCTACTATTATGTCTCTCGTGTGATATTCGCCGTACCCATATTATAGATATAATATTATTATATTCATTTGGCGGGTACCTATATACGGGTACCGACCGCGGTAACGGTAACGCTCGCTGCTGCACGACTACTGTGAAAACACGACGGCTATAATATTATCATGTGTATGCGAACTATTATTATTGTACGCGCCGGCTATGATGACGACTACGATGATAGTAATAATAATAAATAATGATAATGATATGTGTCATATTATATTGTGCGCCCCTATAACCACACCCCGACTTTTAATAATATACAATTCAGCTTGTATTTTTTTTTTTTTAGTTTTTGCATTGATAATTTGTTTTTAATATAATATAGGCACCGATAACATATTTAAGGAATCTATGTAGAAGGTATAAGGTATTAGGTATATAGGTACCATTTCCAAATAGCTAGTTCATGAATTTAATCATGATTTACCTAAATGAAAATAAAAATGTAAAGTATTTGGTTAACCATAATAATATATTATACATTTATAATAAATTATTATAATGACGATGATAATATATCATAAAAATTACAATATTTTTATATAATTTTCACTTACAACAATATTTATTTATTTATTTAATATTAATATTATACAGGTTAAAATTCTGTACCATTCATAAATCATAATAATATATAGATTGCAATGTTTAATGTACTTTACATTTTTTCTTTTTTATATACATCATCTAATTCAGAGAAAATTACACGTTTCTGACTACATTCACATATTAAGTTAGGCATGTTTGATAAAATAATTGAAATTAAGTATTGTATGCTGTTGCGACGTACAATATGCCATATGTGGTTTGATACAAGGAAATTATAATTATGTATTGATACTGCACAAAGAATAAAGATAATAATTAATAACATTGAGATATAAGTATCTACATATAAAGGAAATGTATTATTTCTCCAATCGAGTCACGGGAAATTATTGACACATTATTTATATTTTATTTTTTTAAAAAACCTTTACGAAATAAATATTGTTAACTACCCGTTAAGCCATCGCATATATACATCAATATGTGTATAATACTTATATTGTATTGACTGTTGTTAATATGATGTGGTTATTCGCCTGCATATTAATATTCATTTTAAACACACAAATCAATATAGTACCTATATATTATAATATAATATTATGGTTATTGAAATAGCGTTTTTTTCGACGTGAAAAATATTAAACCCATACCTTGTGCAGTGAAAGAGTGTTTAGTCCGCCGTAAATCTGCATCTATGCCTACCTAATTATACCATTATGCATGCCTAATGGTCACGACGATATAATATTATTTTACGCAGCTACTGCTGGGCACCTAATTGATATATTTATTTTACGGTCGGTTGTTAATATATGTATAGGTACGTTTTTGGAAGTATAAATAACACCGCAGCGTATCTACCATGGTAAATCCTTCGGCGGGACCGTAATGACTATTGGACGTGTGGAGTAAAAAAACCGTCGTACGCGTACGTATAGTAATAATAATAATAATATCACGTAGGTATAGTATTATAGTTACGTCTGCTACAATAATTATAATAATTAATAAGTACGCGTCGTCGTTCAACAAAATAATATATTATAGGCATATATATGATATGGGCAACGTAGGTAGTAGTATAGGTACCTACATGTTGTAATATATACACGATGTATACCAATATAATATGTCCTGTACACCTATTACCTGTAATATATTACTGCCGCCCTGGCAGACGAGCACAAATTATTATATCGTCGTACGATATTATTTTTTTGTTTTCTACGTGTGTATTATATAGGTACCTATATAGGACTTGAAACCGACGACGACGGAAAAACGCCATCAGTATATTATTATAATATACGCAATAAGTAATAACAACGTATTATATACGTCGTCGTCGGTATTACCATTGAGTATATACTGTACAATATAATATACTCAATATAGTATTAGGTACCCATATTATAGACTATACGGTGGAACGGTAGTCGTCAAAATGCGCGCGCCAGCAATTTATCGTTATTTGTTTCTGGTAATAGTGCATACCTCGCTATACAGTGGTCTTGGGCACCTACCTACTATTACCAACGGTATACGTATTATAGGTATCTATATATAGGTACCTGCCCACCCGTAATTATTTCTATATGCCGAGTTAAATGCACGTCATTCTCTAAAATCACGATGAAAACCGGTAATAAAATATTGACACACGGGCATAGGAAATATTTCAAGTGTATAATGCAATATGACGACATTTTCGCGTCCTCTATATATAAGGTATATTGTCTATTTTATGTTGAACACGACCGTCTTATGACGACGGTGATGAGGTGTCATTAAAATCAACCGGTCGGGCGGGGGTGTGGGTTGGCCGACGGTGCCCGAGGGGATGTAAGGCGATGTATAATAATCGTACGAACACGACGAAACACCATCATCCCGACTACCGATTTCGGATCACTTAGATTGAAGGCGACATAGGTAATAATATCTTAACATTAAAATAATACGTATGGTGTATCTATAGTATATTAAAAAAATCTGCAGCAGCGGACTCACGGGTAAAGTGTGAATAACGGCGATTAGGCAATACGAAAATAAATATTGTATATACTATATACTGATAAATAATAATAATATTAATTACTTACTATCGATAATCGTTAGTAAAAAATGCAGTATCGTAATAAATATTGCAACGTCAAAAGTTTAATAATATGTCAAAAAGCCATAGATCTATTATGACAGTTCATACATAGGCGTGCGCAGCCTCCGGTTTCAGGGGCAGCAAGAGATTAATTCGGCCCATTTTTCAAATTCCCCATTAAAACCAGCCCATAGTTTTACTTTTTTTACTATTGGATATCAAAATTAAAATTGTATGGTTATTTGTTTTTTTGGATAAAAGGTTGTATAGTAAGGTACTAA